CATCTATCATCATCATCATCCATCCATCCATCATCATCCATTCATCAACCATCCATTACCCATCATCCATCAACCATCCATCCATCATCCATTATCCATCCACCATCCATCCGTTTATTGTTGATCATTCATAATCCACCATCCATTCATCATCCATCATTCATCCATCCATCCATCCATCATCATCCATCTATAATCCATCCATTTATTGTTCATCATTCATAATCCACCATCCATCCATCATCTATCATCTTCATCATCCATCCATCATCATTATCCATCCATCCATCATTCATCCATCCATCATCATCCATTCATCATCCACTATCAATCTGTCATCCATCCATTTATTGTCCATCATTCATAATCCACCATCCATCCATCATTCATCATCATCCATCCATCCATCCATCCATCATCCATTTATTGTCCATCATCCATAATCCACCATCCATCCATCATCATCACCCATCCATCATCAATCATCCACCATCCAGCATTCATCCATCCATCCTTCCATCATCCATCCATTTATTGTCCATCATACATAATCCACTATCCATCCATCATCCATCATCCATAATCCATCATCCATCATCGTCATCCATCCATCCATCATCCACCATCCATCCATCCATCAATCATCCATCATACATTAATCATCCATCATCATCCATTCATCCATCATCCATTAATCATCCATCCATCCATCCTTTTTTATGAGGGAGACCAGACTACGTCAGGGTCCGTTTGTAAATACAAACTATGATTAAGAAGTTGTTTTTTATTTTGACACAGAGTTGTCATTATGACGCGTTATTGTTTTATCAGTTTAACGGAAAGTTTAACTTCGTCTACATATTTACAGTGAATGAATTATATGGATCCATGATTCATTTTCTGGAGGCAGTTTGGGTTTGAGCCACGTTGTTGTTATGGAGATCAGATGTGGTGCAGAAAAAAACACTTTAAATATAATTTTATCCTCACTGAGGTTTCATAAAATGATTTAAACAAAAAAAAATCTTAAAACCAGAAGATATAAACACTATGCCTTCACTTAAAGTGATATGTGCTGCTGAAACGCTCTGAGCACAAGCTGTGGTTAAAATACAGGAAGTGATGTCGGCGGGTTTGTAAACAGAAGCTTCAGGAAGTAGCTCGACATTTATTCTAAGAGCTGCAGTAAAATAATCCAGAAGAGCTCGGCTGCGTCTCCTGCTTCTCTGCACATCACAACCAGCAGCCAGGAGGAAAAACCTGCTCCTTAATTTACTCTAATTTATACAAATAACACCAACTTTAAAGATTTACGCCGATCTGATCAATTAAAAAAGTTCAAGTCCCAACCTGCAGCGATTATCCACTAAAACACAAAAGTCTTTAAACCTCCGTCAGTTTTAAATTTAAATAAATTCACTGTAAATATCAGAAAAAATAAAAGCCAACAACCAAAAACCCCTGAAGAATGTCATTTTCCTGCAATTGACACAAAAGTCGGACAAATCCAAAATAACTGCTGTGGATGTGTTTGCAAACTAATAATAAGTTTATCATGTTAGTAAAAAAAATTTAATAATCCGAACCTATATAACCAAGCAGCCGAAGTCCCAATAAAAACATCTGGGGAACATTTAAAAAAATGAGAAGAACATCCAGATGTTGGAAAAGAAAAAGCTGAACAAAACCCTCAAGACTAAACTTTATATTCTTGTTTCTGCTGGACTGCGAGCTTTTAATCCCAGAAGAAAACTATAAACACAACAGAGCAGATTATTGGCTCGTTTCCAGATGATTGCATCACCTCATCGCAGGAGTCCTGGAGAACCACGTGACCACGAGACATCAGGGATTACAGGAAAGCCTGGCAGTTTAGGAGGACTTTTAAAACTATATAACTGAACAAACTCTCACTATAAAGATGATTTAAAAGATACGAGAAGACAGTGAAACAAGTTTAACATTGATACTTTAAAGTTTTTACCTTTTAAAGGTGCATGTTTTGTCCCCTATATTACATTAAGTGGATTAAAAATGTACAGCAGAGCATTTTCTCCTCCCAAACATCAAACTTTTGTATATTTTATTATTTTTATCTGACTTGTAGCTTCTGTTTTAGGGCTTCTGACATGTGCACAGACTGACTTTTTAGTTAAATACACAAAAGTCTATGGTGTATACAAAAGGTGATGAATTTTATATTTATATTTATTTTCATAAACTCAGGACCTTTAATATGAGCTCTCTGGTGACCCCCAGGTTTATTAGGAGCAAAAAAATGCACTTTTGTTTAAAGTTTCTTGGTGTGTTCATCAAAGTACAGGTTAAAAAGTAGAAAAGTACCTTGTCAGGTATATTGGTTTCTAACTGTGTAATAAATGTGTCTTTACTGATTAAATAATGGTTATTAACTTTAGAATTTAAATGTTGAGTCTAACAAACAATCTAAAATTGGATCTCACCAGTCCTGGGCCTCGATCCATCCGGCCAGTCCCTGTCTGATGTCCATAGGGAAGTTATCATCATACAGGTAGTCCACATGTTCCAGGAGCCGGATCTCCAGCTGCTGGATCTGTTTCCACTGGCTCATCTTGACTGCAGGTTCAATAGTGTAACAAAACCAGGACTAAACCCCTCAGTCATCAGTTCAAAGGTAATCTGAGTAAAAGCTGTGCGTTTTCTTTTACCTGAGGCGTCTCTCTGCTTCCTTGCTGTCAGTTTCTCTTCACCATGTGCACCTGCTTCTGTTGCAGGCGTTCACTTCAGTCACTTTAATCAGGAAGAGACTTTATGGGTTACTGACACACTTCAGGAAACAAGCAGCCCTCCCACTGAAACATGCAAAAACTATGAAACTATGACATGGTTCATACAGCTAAACTAGTTACATGTGAGGGCTTGTAACTGGAACAAGTTCATCTAATGTAGATAACGATGCAGTTTTGTTTTGAACATTTAAATTGATTTAAATCATAATTTCTTGCACAATAAAACAAAGACCACACTAAAACTACAAAACGCCTTTTAACCAAATGAATGATTTCACTTTAATAAACTCTGCAGAGTCTCCATCAAAGAAATAATTAAAGCTGATCTCCAGGTGGACCTTATCTGGACCCTGGAGGAGAATCCTGGTTTCTGCGAGGCTGAAAGGCAGAAAGGCTCAATGCGCATGCGTTCAGCCAGGGCACCAAGCGCGCCAAACATTCATAGCTACTTCCGGTAGCCGTTGAAAAAAGTGATCGCAAAGATCAAACGTAAGAGTATATCGAATAACCTTTTATCTAATAACAAGGCCATAGTCGGTGTTAGTAATGAATATCAACAAACGAGAAAATAAAATTCGATTACACGTTAAAGAACCAGAAATAGCCTTTGAGCATGCGTACTAATGACTAAAAGTCCCATTTACAAGAAAAAAGTAGTTCCGGTTTATGCCTAAACAATAAAAATATCAGTATTTTATTTGAATAACCAGTTGATTCAGTACTACAAAAGTAATGTGTTTATATCATTTTTAATATGTTTTACAATATGTTTATTTTTATGCGCTTTAATTTAAAAAACCTGGTAAAATCTCAATAATAGTAATTTATTTTGTAAGTCAAAAATTATAAACTTCCGTCACGTACGAGTGAACCGTCAAGTTGAGCAACATCGCCCTCTAGCGGCGTAAAAAATACACTGCGTCACGTCAAAAACGTGCACAAAATATTCAATTCATTTTATTTATATAGCTCCAAGTCACAACAGAAATCATCTCAGGGCACTGAACAGAAACATTCATATTTATATTAAAATAAGATACGCTATGCTATTCAAGATTAAACCATTGAGTCAATAATTTATTGAATGATTAATTGAGATAATCTCTAATAAATATTGAAACTGTATGTTTCTTCTAAATTCTACTGTTCTGTAAATAATATACAGATACAGTAATTCACAAGTTATTTTTTTAACGTGTAGGGGATTTCCTGCAGTACCACTCCTCGTCAGGCGGGGGCGCTGAAGCTCCAAAGAGTGAGTTTTGACGATGGCCTCGGTGACGCAGCGGCAGCCGGCGGAGGTGAAAGGTGACTCCAGTGTGAAAACATGGTTGAACATGGGGATGTCCGCGTGGTTTATCGGGGAGGCAGTAAAATCAACTTCAGGGAGCCGATTATCAGCAGTGATTCCAAGTTAGTGCGCCTTTTTAACCCGACACTGAGTGATGATTAGTGTTAAAAATGCAGGTGTTAGCTTTAGAGCGGTAGCATTAAGAAACTAGAGCGTTAGCAGTTAGCAACAAGCTACATGCTGCCTTAGTTGTGCAACACATTGTTATTGTTTAAAGTAGTCCTTATTAATTGTTTTTCGAGGAAAAGTTGAAGGGTCTGTTGTGCCCGCAGGTTCCTGCTCTGCGTCTCAGGTGACTCTGTAAAGGTGTTCAGTACTGTCACAGAAGAATGTGTCCACGAGCTGCGGGGACACACCGGCCAGGTGACAGGTGTGCTGCTGAGACCCTCCAACCACCTTCAGGTACTCTCAGCTGGTCCACTGCAGCCCTAACCACATGAATTCAGAATCGGTGCTAGATTTATTTAGATATAGTAACTCACAAACACACAGCAGCAGTATGGGTTAGTTGTTCAAGTTGTGTTTATTTGTCATGTGCAAGGTTAACACAGGGTTAACAGTGCAATGAAATGCTTAGGATGACAAGAACCGATTTGACTCGCACAAAGAAATCAAAGAACAAACAATAAGGGTACACAAAAAAATATAATATTTACAAAGTCCTAAAGAGAGATGGTGAACATCAACATGGTAGAATATAATGGTGCAGCAGGATGAATTTGAATGAACAAGTATTTCAAGGTAATATAAGCTAAAATGCACATTTTATATATATATATATATATATATATATATATATATATATATATATATAATTAACATGTACTACATGGGCTGTGTGACAGGTTATTGCACAGGTAGTGACATTGAGGTTGAATTATTAGTTATTGCCGGTTGATCAGTGTTATTTATCTAGAGTTCAGTAAACTGACAGCTTGTGGGTAATGGCTGTCCTTTAGTCTTTTTGTACGCGATGGCAGACTGCCTGTATCGTTTGCCTGAGGGTAGTAGACAGAAGAGTCCTTGTGCTGGGTGGGTGTGGTCCTTAATGATGCTGCGTCCTTTACGCAGACATCGGCTGTGGTAGATGTCCTGAATGGTGTGGATACTGCTACCAGTGATGTCCTCTGCTGTTTGCACCACCCTCTGTAGAGTTTTCCGGCTCTGACTGGTGCAGTTCCCGTATCACCCTGTGATGCAGCCTGTCAGCAGGTTCTCAGTGGTGCACCTATAAAAGTTGGTGAGGATGCTGGTGTTTGTATCAAACTTCTTTAGTCTTCTTAGGAAGTAGAGTCTTTGTCGGGCTTTCTTGACCACAGTGTCTGTAAAGTCCAGGACAAATCCTCCGTAATGTGAACGCCGAGGAACTTGAAGCTGCTGACCTGCTCCACCTCAGCATTGTCTATGTTGATGGTGGAGTGCTGGCCTCCACGCTGTTTCCTGAAGTTCACTATCATCTCCTTCGTTTTGCTGACATTTAGAGAGAGGTTATTTTGCTGACACCAGCTGATGTAGCAGGGGGTGGGGGTCCTACTGAATACAGATTACAAGTGAAGGACTTTTTGTTACAGGTGTATTCCTGCTCAACAGATGGCACCGTCAGACTCTGGGACTTCACAGACGGCATCCTCATCAAGGTAAAGCTTGATGGTCAGCTCTGTGTTTTGAATGATTCTGAGTTTTATAAACGGTTCTCTTTCAGACTTACATCATCGGATACCCGATTTACTCAATCCACGCCTCTTCCAACCATGATGGGGTCGTCTTCGTCGTTATTCCGATGCAAAACGACAAAATAGTCAGTAAGTGTCTTTGTTGTGGGCGTCACTCTCGGTACACCACTGACCATCTGTTCCAGCGCTCGTTTACATTGACCTCGTTGGCAAAAGTTAAAAACTGGTACGAGAAGAGAATCTGAGCAGGCAGACATTTGGGTCTGCAGCTCTGAAAGGTTTGAAATAAATGTTCTGCAGAAAAGCGGTTTAGATCATTGGTTCCTAAAGTTTGTTGTAGGTATTTTTATATAATTTTGAGATATCGACTTACATTTAAAAATGACTTATTTTTACACACAACTGCTTTAACTCAGTCCATTTTACACATATTGAGTTAAAATTTAACATGACATTAGCTGTGCATTAACCACAACTGATTAACATTAGAGTAAACCTAATTTAAGATGGCTGTCACCACCTTACACAAAAATAACTTGTATTTCAAGTAGAGCTTGAAGCAAATGGATGATAAACCCATCCAGTGTGCAAATATTTAGTGAGATGTTAAAAAGGACCCTGACAACCTCTGTGAGGTCTTTCACTTCGAGTCTGGAGAAGTCTGCGTGTTTGAACTGTAAAATTCGATGGAACCCTGCGATGAATCTGCTCCACCCGTTGCCCTGAACCTTCGTGTTTAAGTGTCGGAGCAGAGATTTGTTGTAGGATTTGTCTCCTGAAGCGCTCAGGCGAAGGAGTCAGTGACGTTTAACAAAGACGAAACTGGCTGAGAGTGTAAAATGTCTTGTGTGCAGAGGCGTTCCAGGTGATTGCAGTGAACCTGCCTCAGTGTGCAGACCAGCAGGTGGAGGCTCGGGAGCTGTCTGCGGTCCTGAGTGACGTCAGCTCCAAACCTGCAGCCATCGCCTTCGGTCGAGGGGTACGCCTCCCGTCTTGGATTCAGTTTTCTCCACCGGGTGGATCTCATAATAATCGCCTCTCGTCCTCACAGGGAGAGTATCTGGTGTCGGTCCGGGGTGTGCAGATGGAAATCTATTTCTTCAAGAAGTCCAAGTCCTACAGGTTCTAAAACTTCCAGTTTACATACAAAAGCTGTAAACAAGTCTTTAAAATATAATTTCTGCTTCAGCTACCATAATTTGTTTATGTGAATAAGTTTGTCAGACTGTTTACGCCAACTCCCGTAATGATTCGTTATAATTACTTTCATTTATTTATTTATTTAAATTAGGACAATGCATATGAATCAACACGTCAGCTGTAAGCATTAATGTAAAAATGCCCGAGTTAGCACAACAGCTAATTTTCATCCGTTGGCCTAAGGCAGGTAAGAACAAGAAATATCCCACAAAATGAACAAAGAATAATACAAACATCACCTATATAACACGTAACACGAAATTACAATAAAGATATGACGCCATAACAAAATAGACAAAGTAATCTACATATGAGTGCACCTCTGGTTAGTTTTCAGCCAATGTTTCGAAGAGTTTTTAAAGCTGGAGTAGGTGCCACAGTTCCTGATATAAACTGGCAGTGTGTTCCACGACTGCGTGCCTCTGATGGACACCACCATTTGGACAAATTTAGTCCTGCGCCGCTGTACATTAACAATCTCCTCTGGTCAGTGCTCGTGTGTTTACTTGTTTTTAAATTTACTTAAAACAAAGATTCTGAAAGTCCAGATTCTTGATATGCCTGAACTTTAACCTCCAGATAGCCGGATGTTTATTCACTTAGGGCTGCGCAAACACCACATTTGTAGTTTCAGTTTTGAATTTTACTCCAAACGATTAAAGTATAAACTACTTTTTGACACATTTTACACCTCGTACAGAAAGAGATATATTTTTCTTTTTTGTGAAACTTTTTTTTTTACAAAATCACTGAATGGTAATAAATGATCAAACCCCATCATGCTGATTTTAAAGAACCAAAAACATGCATGTTAGTCTGCCTTCAGGCCCAGGCCTCCCTTGCTAAAGAGAGCTGTGATCTCGATGGGGTTTGCCTGGTTAAATAAAGATTAATTAAAAAGTATTGGAGGTTGTTTGAAATGAAACATTTTGCTGTATTTATGTCAAAAGTCATGAAAATCTGGGTAGTTTCTCATTTAATTATGAAAAATCTGATAATCCGACCACATAAAATGAATGGTTTTAGTTGAAAAACTATGATTGCATCATAATAATAATAAAAAATAATAATTATAGGGAAAAAATAGTTTTCACAATACAATAAAAGTTCACGGTTTTGTTGATTTTAATAGTTTATCCAGTAACCTACATGTGAATAACAACTTTGTTATTTTTAGGAAAGTTTTAACAAGAAATTGTTACAAAAAATAAAACCTTTAAGGTAATTCACTGTTCTTTGAGTACAAAACAAAAAGCAGTTTCCTAACTCAATATTCTCCAGCATTCCTGTTTCTAAGATTGACTAAAATAATTGATTATTAAACTTATCGTCATTCTTAAGTCACATTTCTTGCATATTTTGATCCCAGCGTTGGACTAAAGTTGCACTTATCTTAAAAATGATGCGTAGACCGTAAAGGATCTTGTTCTGCTGGAGGAGATCGTGACGTATTAACCCCAGAATTATAAAGTTTAGTTGTTTATCAGATGAGGGGAGAAAGAACCAGCACACAACAAAAACAAACTGTGAAACAGAGCGTGCCCAGGTCCCTTCAGACGTCGACGCTGTCGGACACTCTGGCGTCAGAACCATCAACCCTGAGGGGCCTCAGCGACAGCCGCCTCTCTGAGCAAGCTAGTAACAGGACCCATGGGGGGGGGGGGGGGGGGGGGG